AGACTACAATGATCCAATTCGTAGGAGAACGGAATTATAAGTCCAAAACTGGAAAACAAATATCTCTTCGTTGAATATCAATGATCGATAGCTGAAAAGTTGTACTTATTCGAAAATTATAAATCTTAACCCGCACCCGCACCGCACCCGCAAAATACTGAATTTGTTGTTATGTTGACCCGCCCGTCCCGCATATGTTTAAACCCGCACCGCCCCGCACTCGCACCACCCCATTGCCATCCCTATGTATGGTAGATTTATTATACCTAAGAAGAAAAGAAAGCTATAAGAAAGGCAGGATCCTAAAATTGGCAATTACAGGAGTTTCTAGGTCGATTCATTCATCACTGTTGCATAGAGCTGCTGATGTAGGATGAAAAGGGAGAAGAGAGAAAGACCAGGTCTAAGAAGTGAAAATTGAATCAGAGTAGATAGGGAGATCAGAATATGAGGATCATATTCATGGATAGTAAGGTCTGAAGAAGTTTGACCTCTTAAAACAACTAGAAGTCTAACTAAAAAAATAAGATTATATAAAACCTTATCTCGAAGATCTCTATTTTAATTCTGAATAATAGATAAAAATGAATAATATCAAGTGATAGATGATGTCCTAATGATCTGTATCAGCTACACATACAGTTTAGTCTTGTTGGAGCTATCCCCTTTAGTACAGTGAGTAGAGAAAGTTTGTGGAATATGAATACAACTGTATGAAGTACAAGACAACAAATAGTGAGAGAATCTAGAAGCAGCACTAATTCTGGAAGGAGAAATGTACATGGGTACTGGTGTTGTATACGGGGAGGAATTGGATAACACTAGACCTTGGATTCTAGTATACATGGATATAACACTGAAGACTGAGGAAAATTTGGCACATTATCTTCCTCTGATAAACGCACCTTGTTCAATTTCTGTTCATTCTCTCTCAGAACCTATAACAATTTGTCTGGTTCTAATTTCTTTTTTCGTGTGAGGGCAGCACCAATAACATTAGTGCTGCTAATTTGGCACATTATCTTCCTCCGGAGAGGGATATGTCTTGTTCTCTTTCTTTTCTTTCTCTCTCAGAAAGACCGAATGATATGTCTCTTTAATTTATGCAGTCATCTTTTTGAGCTTTTGGGCCGAAGTGCACTACAATTCAATCTATCCGCAAGGAGGTAAATGAGCATTGTCATTTTTTCCTTTTTGTGCTAGAGAATGCATTTAATATCTAAGCGCCATGCTCTTTTATTGAACAGATATTGTTTTTACATCTTATTCGTATTCATCATACTTTTGACCTAGTAATAGAAGTGTTCTAATTAGTCTCTGATGTATGTTTACAATTTTCTGAAAAGCTCACATTATCTTGAACTCCACCCTCAACCCAAAAACTACCCTTCCACATTTGCCAAGGTTTTGAAAAAAGAAAACCCACTCTTCCACGTTCGTCGATGTTTTGAGCTTTCCCCCTCAAACTGATTGTGAATTACCAAACTTGTTTTGTCTAAAAATTTCATTGGCTATATCTTCTGTTCTTAATCAGTGGCCTTGCATCTAGTTTTCCCCGATACTGTGTCTCGGAGTGCCTGCTGGGAAGTCCTATATAAAGACAATTAGCTGAGAATTCAGTGATCTTTTAGGATTTTTTTAACTGGTTTTATCGGACCAGAAATTTAGGTTGAACCAGTATACTTCTAATTTAAGGATTTGCTTTGACAGGACAAGTTTAACAAGATAGTTACATAGTGGATTTACCTGGCTAAGAGGGCTTATCTTTTTCAGTAGTAGTAGGGATATAAAATGCAGTATTGGTTAAACGGTTTCTATTTGTGCTAATTTATTACAGAGTTTCCTGCTGGAGAGACCCGAAAAAGAAAAAAATGGTGGTGGCTAGGCTGAGACTTGAGAATAGCATTCGCCAGCTTCTTTTGGATGATTAGAACTTAGAAGAGAGATTCTTTCCTGGAACAGAGCACCTTATCACGAGGATTAGGGACACTGTGACAACACCTTCGGATTGTATATATTTTTTTTTTATTCTTTCTCTTAGGTACACAACAATTTTGCCATTTCACGGCCTTCATTCTTTGTGTATATATCATTTCTTATTTTTAGTTAGCTCTATCGACTCTTGATTTATATATATGCAATGCTACTTTACACCAGTTACCTGCGACTTGCAAGTTTCAATTCTTGCACAGGTCCCCATTTTGGATTATTTTTTTCTTCAGTATCACCGCTTGATGTCTACTGTATAAACTTTCTTAAAAAGATATAGATTGAAAAGGAAAATGTAAAGGTCTGGACTTGCAACTTAATGGCTGTAGATTCCCACTACACTTTTAGCTAATAGTTTTTATTAATCTTATAAAAGATCCTTCACTCTATGTGTCACGATTCAAAACCCTATCCTATCCGGCATTGGATGGGATACCAATTTCGAGAACAGTAATTTTGAGATAAAATACTAAAAGGACAAAGATGCCTTTCTTCAATGCTAGTCTTCCAAAGTCCTTTAAAAATTTAAGGTTAAAATTCAAATAAAATTTATCTAATGTAAATCAAACATGTTTTGTGTTATATCAGGTATATCTCATTTCTAGTGCAATGAACCAAACATCTTTGAATACAAGTTATTATTTAATTCCCGTATTATCTTCCTGTCATTATAATTCTGGGATAACTTGTTGGGGTCGTGTAGTTATCAGGATATAAAAGACAAGAGGATATGAAGTCTACATACCCTCAGATATTCCAAACTGAAGGTTTATAACAATAATCGTGAAATGCGTTCCTCTTATTCCTACTCTATAACGATAACCTTATCTTTTGTACCTTGTTTAGGTAATGATCGTGACGAGGAGGTGATAGACGCAACCCAGGTTACAACCCAGGTCACAGGATCAAACACTTGAGGTGAGTTATGGCTTACTATATGACTCTTTTAATGGTAGACGGTCGTGTGAGGCCGATGTGATGATATATGTTATATTATATGGCCCTGTGAGGCAGTGGTTCTATTTTCCGGCTGCATGACAGGTTTCGGATAGTCCTATTTATAGAGTAAACTCTAGCGAAATTTCTAAAAAATTCCGAGAGTTAGAATCTTCATATATGTTAACCCAACATTTGAGGACCAATGTTCTTAAAGGGGATGTTACATCCCGTATTTTTCGTACGTTAAGTTGCGTCGTAAGTTAGTCGACATAAGCTCGAAGGATAAGATTATCCTTGAGGTTAAAAGTGTTTACGCTATTTTTAACAAGTGATAAGTGAGTGTCGTGAAGGTTCGAGGTGAAACGATTTGAAGAGTACAAGTTTCATCAATGTAGTGCCCCGGGCTTTTCTGGCTATGGTTTGAACCACTCGACATATGTAAGTAGGCTCGAGCCACGGAGAATTTTGGTCATATTCAAGTATGCAAATAAAGAGCCTGTTGTATAAAAAGATGAAGTCCCGAAATGATTTCAAACTTAAAAGTGTGACGGCGATGATTGGGAATAATATTTTTGTATGTGGCAAAAGTGGCTATGTACTAGTACTAGTTTTATATCACATGATTATGATGTGGGGTATGTGAAGTGTGTTAAAAGTGATTCATATTTAAGTAAATTAAGATCAAGAAATTAATTAAGATTATTGGATAAATATTATATAGACAAAACCAAGTAGATTATTGACAAGTGGCAGTCAACGGCATATCTATACATACACAAGTTTAAATGATGATAAGATAAAGGTGTACTAAATATATACACGTGTAAATGGGGTTTTGATGACAAATCAAATGGGTATTCAATTAATGACATGTGTAAGTGGTTACAAGCCCCTTTTAAAATATTTTACTACTTTGTTGGCTTCCTCTATATATATAGAAGGTGCTGCACATTAGTATTATATATACATAGAGACACACTATATACATTTTCTTAACATCTTAAAGTGGAGATAATTTTCTTTAGGAAAATATGGGCAGCAACATAATTTCCGTGGTGTGCAGCAACGTTTTCTGTATTTTTTAGAAGATAAATTACATTTCTTCTCAACAAAAAGATACTAAGTCCTACGACTAAGGCGAACACGAAGAAGCATAACGATTATACCCACGTCGGTTTCCTTTAGGGGATAGCAAATCAGAGATTTCTTCCAAGTGAAGTAAGGTAGAAGGAGAGTAGTTCTTGGCATATAAGATAAGAATTCTCCTCTCCCAGATATATTTAAGTTCGTCCAGGTCGTAGTTAAATTATGGGATGAGAAATACAAAATTAATAATGGGAAATCGTATTTTGATGTTGTTATTATCGTGTGGGCTGTTTGATAGCTATTCTAAATTGTTTGATGATTGAAATTGGTGAATTTAAGATGATTGTTGTTGTTCTTGTACTTGTGGAAGTTGGAAGAAATAGGGGAGTCTGATTCATTATAAAATAAGCTTGTCGCTCAAAATACATGATATACCAGTATTTTCTTAGCTTAACGGAAGCGTTGTCGTCATTATAGGTTGAGGCACTAGACAAGATGCGTTGGTTGGGTTGTCCCAGGTTGACCCTTACTGTCTTTCCCTTGAGTTACATTTCTATATATATTTTATCTGCCTTACATGTTAGTACATTCTTTCGTACCGACATCCCTTTGCTGGGGCACTGTGTCTTATGCCGTGTCTTATGCCCGCAGGTTGGGTAGATAGGCCGACGAACCTCCCCAGTAGGTTGTCCAGTTCTATGGTTGATCGACGCACGCCACTTCTCCTGGAGTTGCTATAGAGAGGTAGGCTGTGCTGCTTATGTATATATGCATTTTGTTTTGGGTATGACGGGGTCCTGTCCCGATCTTCTCTAAGTTATGCTACTCCTAGAGGCTTGTAGGCTTGGGTCGTATGTACAGCTATTTTGCATGGCCTTGCCGGCCATCCTGTTGGTCAGTTGATATATATTGTGGCCTTGTCGACCTTACATATACGTATATGTTTAGGTGGTTCTTCTCTTACACTTTGTTATGTACATGTTGTCTTATGGGTATCATTTTGAGGCCTTGTTGGCCCAGACGCTTGCATGTCCATGTTATATTTCAGAGGTGGTACGCTGGGTCCATTAAGGCACCGGGTGCCGGCCATACCTGTACAAAATAATTTTCGGGCTAAACCGTAATCAAACGTGGGATAAAATAATTTTTATATTTTATTTTGGGATAGTTACCCCTTATCCCACCAATCAGACGACCCCTAAGGTCATAATCAGTATTCGATGACATGATCCTTGTCGGATAAATTTAACTCCTGTTACATAGACATGACACATAAGAAATGAAAACGGAGGTCCAGGCATTTTTGTGAAAGAGTAGGCTTGGACTGCCTATTATTATAACCACTCTTGTCTCCCAGATGGAAATGGGCCTCTTTCTTTCTCTTTCAACTATGTCCCTCTCCTGATAAGATTCATAACAGAGAGCAATGTCAACTACCTCTGAATAGGTATCATCTTGCACGACTCGTGTTACAGGACCATGGTAACGATGCACAAGTCCATCCATGAATCTTCTCACCTTCTTTCTCTCATCTACAACCAGTGCGTGCATACCTCGATAAATCAGTAAACTTGTAGCATCTTTAGCCATGCTTCTAAAATTGCTTATTTTGAAAAGTACTTTTTAAAAATGTACTTTTGGTGAACAGCAATTTGTATTTGGATAATTATTAGTATTTTTTATTCAAACTGAGGTATTCATTCTTGCCCACTAGTCATACAGGTACTAACGTATATGTTGTCTGTAAAAAGAATTCCAGAATATGCAAATCAAAACTTGCCGAAGAGATCTTGTCCCGAGAACACATTGACATAATCTGATAAATTGATTAAAAGACTGGCATTATCTAAAGAATGAATCAATTGGCAGGTATGGAATAAAGAGAAAATGTCGCATTTCAGTGCTATTGTCGCATCAACATAAAAACCACAAGTGCTAGTATGGAAGTAGTGACAGTAAACGAAGATATGAGCTGCTTGTTGGGAGTATCTTTGGCAATGAGCACTCTTCTCTTCTTCATTAGAGTATACCCATCACAGCCAGGAATGCTGATGCCAGGGATAATCTTCTTTGTGAATGAGATTACTGGTTGTTGTTTCCCAGGGTACTCGGGGATCTTTCTCTGGATTAGCTCCATCTGTTTCTGCTACTATATATATAGCTCAAGCCCTTCATGAACAAGGTATTGTTAACTCCATCTAATATAGTTCCATTGAAGGAACTACATACACCGCATCAAAACCAGGGGCTGCTTTATCCAGTTGTATCATCCCAGTTAAAGAGGGTGAATAAATGCCAGTTGATGCTGACACCGCAGTTATCTCCGCATGGCAATGGGTTCTAAACTGGAAGATGATTAATATTAGCCCAGGCAAAGGACATCTTGGTTCTATTTTCAAACTGGAAGATGATTTTGTGCTACATGTCCGAGCGGTATTAGAAGGAAAACCACAGGAGCATGTTAGACAAGGAATGATGGATTCATTGAAGAAAACAGAGAAAGATACACAGCATCTAGGGCTTTCTCCTTTTGGTTGGGTGATGTTGCATACAACTTGCCAGCTTGCAAATGCTGCTGTATCGCTAGGATCAGGAAACTGGCTGGGGCTTACACGGAATGGAGGTCCACATTTATAATCTGGATTCAGTCTGCCTTCAATCTTCCAATTCTGAGGAGGAGTGAACAAGGAGCGATTGAGATCCGGAGGCATTTTAAAGACGTTTATCTGGAATGCTGAAGCAGACTTGCTTGGGTCCATGGCAGGTGGCAAGATCGTCCCATTTCGGCAACAGAAAGGTATCATCCCCAACTTTGTGTCATTGGTCTTTTCCAGAGGTTGATCGATTATTGTTGCCCTTCTCTCACAGTTCATTCCATTGGAGAAGTCAAGGCTATGATAAAATTTTCCCCGTTGCCCGAAAACGCAATCAGAAGTATCAACAACATAGGAGTATGCACTTTAAGTAGCAATTACAGTTTGATCAAACTTTTTAAAAGTGCTTTTAAGTAAATTTTAGAATTTGGCCAAGCTTTTTAAAAGTGTTTTTAAGTAAATTTACCTCAAAAGTACTTTTTACTTTTCGGCTTCGCAAAAACTGCTTCTGTTCTTACTAAAAAAGTATTATTATTTTCTTCTAAAAGCTTCGCCAAATACTTTAACTTTGGAAAAAAGTATTTTTGGCCCAAAAATACTTTTTGCCAAAAAGAAGAACGCTCAAACAGGCTATTAGCCTCATACTCTATAACAGTCATGGTATCCTAGCGTAGTGCTCGATCTAACATTTCATACCATCGTGTATACTCAATGGAATGAACATGTCCATAAACATGAGTTAAAACTCTAACCAAGTGATAAGAGGTAACCTTGCTCGTCTATCTCTCTGAATCGAAATTCACCACGACTCTACATATCCTAAAAATTGGAAAGTAGCAAACTTCATACCAAGTCTCTTTCAACACCAAAGTAATCAGTATCTTCTCACCATGCTCAATGAATTTCTGAGGCTCTATAAATGTTGGTATAACATCGAACTCTGGTGGCTTAAGACTCGTGAAAGCTCTAAGCTCTTTGGATTGCCCTATCATTGTTACTGGCTAAATAACCTTCTTAGGGACCATCTCATATGGTGTTTGTATTTGTGAAGTAGCCCGATGAACTGTAAGCCATCCTGAATAGGTACAAATTTCTCCAACACATTCAACAATCTAGCCTTTACGTCTGTAGGTAAGAAAATAGTAGGTACCACAGCTGGTAGTAGTGGTGGAACATCCTAAATCGCTCTGGCACAAGAGCTTGGAGCTAGGCTCCATTCACAACTTCAGGTTGAAGAGCGGCATGTGCCCTAGTCAGGGCTCCCGTCTGATGAGCCCTAGCTTGACAACCACCTCGAGTAGTACCGCGTCCAGCACGATGTCTAGCACGTGCATTTGATTGTCCAATAGAGGAGGATGTGTGTGTCCTATTCATCTGCGAAAGAAATTTTTTAAAGTCAAACTCGATTCATCTCAATGCATATCAAAGAATGAAAGAAGAAAAAATATCTTAAATTCTTAGTAGTCTCAAGAGCAGTATGAGCTCCTACATGCCCATGAAGAAGACTCTACTAAACACTGCTCAATAATTCGTGATTTAAAACCTATACTCTAATACCAACTTTGTTACATTCCAAACTGCCCCTAGACGCGATTAACACCTAACTACCACTACTTATAAGGTAAACCAATTTTCGTACACTAAACCTTAATTAAACCATTGAGAGAAATATAGGTGCAAGTCCAAATACATTAATAGTAATTAAATAGGAATGTAATTATCCAAATAAATTCATAAATAAATTATAAATACTAATAATCAATAAATTAATAAATCTCTAGCCCAAATTTCGTACTAAGATCATGGGGCATCTAATAGAATGAGTTTAACTATCGGGCATGCAAATCCCTAAAAAGAAATAAATAGCACAAAATAGATAAAGATGGAATAATGGTCTCCACGAGCATTGTGGAAGTTCACCTCAACAACAGAATCCACTCGAATGAATTCATCATCCATTAGCTTCGTAGTCAGCAACAATATCTACGTGGACATGCATGTAATGAGTGAGCTATACATAACTATAATCCAGTAAAATACTCAACTTACCACTTTGAATACTCCTAGAATAAGTGTTAGGAAATACAAACTCACAACATTATGCGTGATACAATAAACACAATAGTTATATCACAACACGATATATAGGTATCAATAAAGATAAGGAGGATTAATGTCACGATCCAAAATCCCACCAATGGTCATGATGGAACCTAACCTGCTTTCTAGGCACGCCAACACTCAACAACTATAATAGAATTCATTTATTAAGGCATTAACTGAGATGTGATATAAATAACAAGCGAAATATGTCTCAAAATATCATCAAAGTACATAAATCACATACATGATCTAAACACAATCAGAACTGTCTCATAGCTCTCCCAAGACCCGCTGTCACAATATCACAAGAATCTAACAAGCATATATAGTCTCAATGGAACAACAACATTCGTCCGAAAAAAGAAAAGACAAAACTAGAAAAGCGGGGAAAGGGAACTCCATGTGCTGAGGATCGGATCAAGGAAGAAGCTCACCACGAAATCTCTAATAAATACTCCTACTCAGCTCGATGGGTACCTCTAGTACCTTCCTCAGAACCTATACAAAATATATAAAAGTGTAGTATGAGTATAAAATTACGGTAGTCAGTAAGCATCAAGTCTAGCCTCGAAGAAGTAGTAATGAGAGGCCGACTTTGACACTTAATAATAGTCCAATAAACATGTGGAAGTATAATTTGAATATGAAATAAGGCATGATATCATCAACCAAATCTAACAGTAGAAGCACAGTAAATCTAGAATATAGACATGCTTGGCAGACAAAGAGATAGAATACTATATCAGTTATCTCAATTCTTTTCATAATCATGATATAAATCAGTCAATATATATATATATATATATATATATATATATATATATATATATATGATCCACTACATGAATCTAGGATGTGAATGCATGCTCATGATTCAATGTCAATACCTCACTGCACAAATTTATATACCTGATACTGACCAAGTGTCCAAACTAGCACCAATTTGGGTGCTTGTGCTCACAAGGCCCAAAGTAACATGGGTAATTACCTGACCTCGGAGGGACGGATCTGTAACTAAGCATTTGTAATGATCCGGCCGGTCGTTTCGAGAGTCATAGCCTCGTTTCCCCCATTTATGCTTCCTTTTATGCTTTTTAGCTAATTATGTTATACTGGGTTGGTTGGTTCGGGTCCGGAGTGATTTCGGAGTGGAATGAGACACTTAGTCTCTAAAGTAGAAGCTTAAGTTGGAAAAGTCAACCGGATATTGACCTATGTGTAAACGATCTCGGAATTTAATTCTGATGGTTCCATTAACTTCGTTAGGTGATTTTGGACTTAGGAGCGCATCCGAAATGTGATTTGGAGGTCTGGAAGAATTAGGATTGAATTGGCAAAAGATGAAAATTTGGCGATTTCGGTCGGCAATGAAAAATTTGATATCCGGGTCGGAATGGAATTTCGAAAGTTGAAGTAGGTTCGTAGTATCATTTGTGACGTGTGTGCACAATTTGAGGTCATTTGGACGTGGTTTGGTTGGTTTCGGCATCGATTACTGAATTTGGAAATTTAAAAGTTTTTAGGCTTGAATCCGAGGGTAATTTGATGTTTGGATGTTGTTTTGAGTGATTTGAAGGTTCGACTAAGTTTGTATGTTGATATATGACTTGTTGGTATTTTTGGTTGAGATCCCGAGGGCCCCAGGGTGATTCCGAGTGGTTAACGGATTTGTCGAAGTTGGAAAATGCAGCTGAAGCTGCTACTACTGCTATTTTCGTACTTGCGGAAGGAGGAGTCGTAGGTGCGAGGTCGCTGGTGCGCAAGGGGAGTCCGCAGGAGCGGGCAGTGCTGGACTACGCAGGATGCGCAGGTGCGAGTTGGAGGTCGCATCTGCGAGCCCGCAGGTGCGAAACCGGGGGCGCAGATGCAGAAAGGGGGAATGCTAGACAGCTTTGCAAAAGCGGAAGGAAAACGCACAGGTGCGCTTTCGCAGGGGCGGGGTTTTGGGCCGCAGATGCGGAACCTGGGCTCCTAAGTGAGTTCCGCACCTGCGATTGATTTTTCGCAGGTGCGGTGGTGCAGAAGCATGAAATTGTCCGCAAGTGCAAAAAGCCTAGGCAGAAACCATAAATAGAATCCTTCACGAATTTGGTTCATTTCCACCATTTTCAAGTCAGTTTTTGGAGCTTTTGGAGTGATATTTGAAGGGTGATTCAAGGGCTATCAGTGAGGTAAGTTTCTTGAGCCCTAATACTCGTATATATGGTGATTTCTCGTTATTTAATCATGTAATTAGTGAAAATGAGGGGTTAGGGCTTGAGAGTTTTGGAGAGTAATTTAAGGATTTGAAGGAACAAACAATGTCGGATTTTGATGAATTTGGCATGGTTAGACTCGTGAGTGAATGTGCTTTCTAGTTTTGTAAATTTTGTCGGACTTCGAGAGGTGGGCCGGGGGCCGGGTTTGAGCCAATTTCAGGTTTTGAGTCTAATTTGGTATTTTTCTTGTGAAATTCATTCCTTTAGCATAAATTGATGGTGTTGTACTGATTGTGAATAGATTCAGAGCATTTGGAGACCGAATCGAGGGGCAAGAGCATTTCGGAGTAGGAGTTCTACGCTGTTGAGATAAGTAACAGTTTTAAATCTGGTCTTGAGGGTATGAAACCCGGAGTTTGGTATAATGTGACTGTTTGGAGGTGGCACCCATGCTAGGTGACGGGCGTGTAGCTGTACACCGTGAGGGATTGAGACTTGGTCCGTCCCGGGAGACTGTGAAGTCTAATAGACTTTATTTGTGTTTATATGCATTCCTATTTTTACTAGAACTTGACTGTGTTTCATGTTAGAAGCATGCTTAGGCTGTATTCCATTCATGGTAGTTATACTCAGTCATAGTGATTCTTGTACATGTTTACCTCAGTCTCTGTTATTTGTTTTTCCCTGATTATATATTGTAACACTTTGATTTGGGCTGCTTTCCCTTTCTTTATTGAGAACTATGAGACTAGAGAGGTTCATGACTGAGTAAGGCCGAAGGCCTGGTTGTGAGGTATTGTTCTATGGCACGTGAGTTATCCATACGGATCCTTATATTTATACTATAGCACGTGAGTTGTCCGTGCAGCACGTGAGTTGTTTGTGCTTATAGCGCTTGGGCTGTAGAAGCCCCCATGAGTCTGAACACCCCCAGTGAGCGCATGTACCTATTGAGAGTGTGTATTGAGGGCTGTGAGCCGAGAGTGTGAGGTTGAGATGGGTTGAGTGACTGTTGCCTTGAGAGGCTGTACCTGCATTATTTATTGTTGCACTTGGTTGTATCTGTTGTTGTTATGAAATTTCTGGAAGATTCATATCTGTTTTACATGAGCGCGAACTGTTTTGACTTATACCACAGGATTTGAAAGCACGTTCACTC